ACACTATAAGAATACCACAATATACCATAGTATGCGATAAGATACTATAGTATACTATGATATACTATAATGTTACTATGATATGCTATAACATATTATAATGCAGTATCATATACTAGAATATACCAGCCTCAGGGCCTGAAACACACATTGTCAACCCATGTCCTTGTACTGCTTCTCTGCCAGTTCCTGGACGGTCATGTCCCAGCTCATCTGTCGCGCATCGGGCCAATGAAGCTTCGAGAAATCTTATAATCCCTATATACCCTATATAATCCGTATATATCCAAATAGAATCATATATAGCCCTATATAATCCCTGTATATCCCAATGGCATCCTTATATAACACCAATCTTGCGCTTGCCTTCCAACCATTCGTCATCGGCCCGGCACCGAGACCCAGGTCGCCAGCAATAGCATCCTTGACGGCAAAGAGCGCTCGGCCGCTCAAGTTTTGACGCTTTCATCTGCACAAGTCCTGATTGACGAAGAGACGGTACCCTCGGAACGCCTGCGAACATCATGTTTCGGGGCTGGTGCTTGGGGCAGTGAGTGGCAGGAAAAATCTGCGACTGTACCATTACGGCCATCCGCCTCTAGTAGCGCCATCATCTGGACCAACTCCCATGTGGACGCAGAGAATGCCTGCTCTGATGGCATGACTCCTGGCAGCGATGGGCTAGGCTATGTTGGGGTATATTGGGGTTATATAGGAATAATGGATTTATGTAGGGGTTATATTGGGATAATGGAAAAGAAAATGGAAACTATAGGGATTATATAGGGGATATATTGGGGTAATATAGGGGTTATATTGGGGATATATAGGGATGATGGAAAAGAAAATGGAAACTACTATACTACCATAATGGGTTATATGGGGTTACCCTAGGGATCATAGCAGCAGCAGTAGCAGCAGAGGTAGCAGCAGAGGTAGCAGCAGCGGTAGCAGCAGTAGCACCGCAGGAAGGAGTTGCAAATTCTATTGTGGTAGCTGTTGCTGTGTGGTTGTGGTGGTGGCAGTGATGGAAGGAATGATTAGTAATTAGCAGCACTGCCACCACCACCACCACCACACTGAATGGCAAATGGCCTGGAAAAGATGAGTCCACAATTACCTGCCGGGGCCAGTGTCATGGGCTTCAGGTGCTTCAACGTTCTTCACGAGTTCGCACCTTGAAAACGGCGAGCATGGAAACACGTCCGTGCATGAGCTCTGCCTGAGCAAGAGTGACACTTGCGGAAGACCAGAAAATGGGCAAGGAATCTACCGCAGACCTCTCGATTCCATCGCATGGAATCGAACTCAACACCAAAATTCTCGAGCACCTGCACCGTGGTTTTAAACTATGATGCCCGCAAAGCAACATGTACCTTTTACAGCGTTTTGTCTGGTCTCTCACTTCACCTCTGCATGAAACGTGATGGACCGTGAGCACAGCACGAAAGTGTCAAGTAACCGCCATGAGTGCCTCGTTGATGTACTCGTCCGCGCCGAACCTCGATTCGGGCAGTAAGGCAGTAGCTGGATGTAGCTGGTTGGCTTGCTCCCTGCAGCTGATGGGGATGGCACCCAAGCGGGTCGAAACCCAAATCGCCAACCAAGCTCGGGTTGGTGGGAACATTCCTCATGGTGTGTGAAGCCCAAGACTACAGGTGCTGCAAAGAATGATGAAAAAAGCTGAAGCGAGGACTGCAGATGTGCAGGCACTGGCATGAACGGCAATGCTCGGGACATCGCCTGAGCCACTTGCACTCACAAAAAGTCCAGGCACTCATCAAATGTATGAGTCTTCGACTTGCTTCTCCTCACCCTTCGGTGAAGCTACAGCCTTGGCGGTCAAATCAGAGTTGTTGACTACAAGAAACTCTAAACGAGCTATAGTCTAAACTCC